GTTGATTCATTCTAAATGATGCATTCCTCAGGCTTAGTGTAATGTTTATGGGAAAATACCATATACGTGCAAATTATAGCTTAATTTTTTGACTTGCTATTGGTCTTCACCAATGGAAGGAAACCGGCACGATGTAGGGAGAACATGCAAACTCCACACACACTCTGAGCGGAGCCAGGATTTCAACGCTCAGTCACAGAGGTGGGAAGCAACAGTGTTATCCATTGAGTCCCATGTCAGCTGTTAGCGCACATGTTGAGGGGAAGTTCGAAAAGCCAGAACGCAGCTTCCCGGATGGTTAACAACCCAGGGCTCCAGAAAACACACCCTGACTGCCTGTGATTTCTGAATCTTAGGGACATGGCTCCATCCTGCAGGAGCGTCGCATTTTTTTTAATGCGGTTTTCTGCTTGCTGAAGCAAAAAGAGGCGACGCTTCCCGGTGTCTCTTTGAAGTGCTGTCAGCTTCAGGTACACTGGAGAGCGTCCCGCGGTAGAGCTGCGTTTGACCTAGTGCCACCTGAGCCGTCTGCTGATGCTCCGCATCCAGGGCTCTCTGCTAAGAGACATGGGCTGCATATAACTAATGAAGTGGAAACGCAGCCACTGAGTGGATAAAATGGGGGGGGGGATCTTTATAGCACAGAAAAGCAATATGTTCATGATCGTGGAAACACATTTGTGCCGCCCCGGCTATAAAATTAAAGTCACGTCCAAAAACATTATTAAGACTTAAATATGCAATCTCTTTCCGAACACGCCCCTGGCCTGTGAATGGAAAACCAGTCGTAGTGTCCCTTTACAGACAGCCCACATCTTGCACAATGGATCTGGGTGAGTAATTCCAAAACTCACTTAAATTGCATATATTCCATTTCAAAGTGTAATTTTCAGACAATTTAAACCTAAGTATTTTCCTCAAATTGCCAATTCAAATTGCAATTGATTTACGCGTGTTTTTAATGGCAAAACATTGACTGCATGGAAAGCAGCTATAAACAGATACTTTCGTTTTCATTCTCAATATCCCAAAACATGGTGTAAATTATTTTGCTCTGTAACTGAAATGGTCTCACCGACGATATCATTTTCATCGATAAGGATCATTGTACTTGTGTCACCTAGTGTAATAAAATGGTGGCACAACTTTCTGAAATTGAATGTTTGGGCCTCTTTGTGAGATGAACCATGTAAAAGTCACTGGGATCACATATGGAGCGCATGAAGAGTCGAAGGCATTAAATGTCAACTTCATTTAGCATTTAGAAATGTCAAATGGACGTCTCTCCTCACTCCTTCCCTCTACGGAAAATAGGACTATCAACAACAACCAATCAAAATAACAGTCCTCACTATTCTGTGGAGCAGAGTCCTATGTCTTGCTCATTGTCACACTACGAGGAATCTTAAAGAGATTGTCAGTTCATTTCCACAGTGAATGGCAGATTCATGGGATAGGATGTAAATATCCAGACAGGGGAACAAACCGATGACTCAGTCTGGCTGTTGATCTTTGTACATGTTCTGATCCGTGAATAAAACATGTTGTGTTTGCTTTTGTAGTGACAATGAGCAGTTGTTTGCCTTTAGATAATGAGGCAGTTGAAAGGCTGGGCGTTATTCCCTTGGCTTTGATAAATTCCATGTGAAATGTGACTGCCCCCCCCCGAACAGCGCAGCGGTCTGGAGAGTAATCCGGCCCCGCTGCGGGCGGGGCCGCGTGAAGGGGCCGCGCTGTGCCTCACGAAGCGATAGACGCTGGCCCCCCGCGACCCAGGAACCTCCTCTAATTCCTGGCGCGGTTTATGTCCGTGCCGCTTGCCAGCAGCAACGCTGCCCGTTTTCTTTCAGTCGGGGAGCTTGGAGACCAGCGCCAGAGAGGCACCATCCGCAAACTCATTTTAAAAGTGCTTTTCATTAGAGGCATCTTCCAAGGTCGCCCCTTTTTGAACATTTTGTAGCAGTTCGACATCTTGTATCCTAAAACGTTATTAGGCTCTAACTGGTGACCTAAGCTCGCCTCGGTGGTTATAGGCAATGGTGCATCTCTTTGATGCATCCAAACCAGGCAGAGCCATTAGATTCTGAGTCAGGGCTTTTAGATCTGTTCAGTATAATATATATATAGCTTTGAAAATGACTGCTAGCCAGGGATCTAATCCACAGTGATCTGTGGGTGTCTGATTTTTTGGGTATGCAGATACCAGACAAATTGAAGAATGTGTGACCAACAGTTAATCTATATATTAAAGAGGAATTAGTTTGTCTATCTATCTATCTATTATGGAAGCCCGTTTCCGCCACCAGGGGAAAAAATTATATTAAATTTAAGTCGAAATTTCGACTTAGTTATCTCGTTATTTCGAGATATTATCTTGAAATTTCGACTTCTTATCTCGAAATAACGAGATAACTATCTCGAAATTTCGACTTCTTATCTCGAAATTTCGACTTAGTATCTCGAAATAACGAAATAACTATATCTATCTATCTATCTATCTATCTATCTGTCCCATGGGTATATAACAATCAATGAATAGTTGGTCCATAGCCAGAAATACTCAACACATAACAGGAACACACAATTAGGGGGGACGGTTGGTGGGAGTCGCGCACAGTACATTTTGAACCGATACATTTACTACGTGGATATGTGCCTGACGAATGGATCGGCATTCCAGAATTCCAGCATTGCATTTGCCGTTGCATTGCCATACTCCAAAATGTCACAATTGTTATCACTCGGGTATTAATGGAACAGAACAAAATCAGATGAGGTTTTCTTGGAAAGTTAAAGGAACCATATGGCAGTGACTGTGAGTCGTTCTCTTGTTGAGCCCCATCGACAAGGTTCTGGCGCGACATCAGCGAGCACAATAAGCAGAAAAACACGGGGCCCATTATGTAAGGGAACACTTACAATGCCATTGTCTCTGATTGTGAGGGTTTTCTCAGAGTATTCCAGCATCCCAGAAGTCGCATATCTGAATTGCTCATATCATTATGTGTATGAGATTGTACCTTAAATGTACATCCTGTTAAGAGTGATCTTTAGCCTTGTGGTGTAGAATTCAGGCTAACTGCGACCATGTACTGCAAAGTGGTTATGGGGCTGATCTCTACGTTAGACAGACACTGTTAGCCGCTGATGTCCGTGTGTGCATGTGTGTGTGCGTGTGTGTGTATTATGTCTACATTACATTGTGGGGACCAAAATGGTCCCTGCAATGTGATAAAACCCTGTTATTTTCACGTTGTGGGGACCATTTTTCAGGTCCCCACAATGATCTGTGACTGCAATCCAGCCAAAAATTATGGTTAACCCATATGTGATGCCATGACATCACATGGGGAAGCTAGTTCAATGCCCAGGGAGCAGTGCTTGGGGGCGGTACCTTGCTGGTTAGGGATTCGAACCGGCAACCTCTCAATTACAAGTACACTTCCATAACCATTACGCCAACACTGCCCACAATATTGTGTGTATGTATGTAAGAGATGCATGTGTGTATGTGTGTGTGTGAGAGAGAGAGAGAGATCAGCAGAGCTTCAGGTCTGCTGTGAAATGCACACCTGCTGCTGAGAGTCTCCTTAGCCATCCCCCCCCCCCCCAAGGTCACTCTGCAATGATCGCTGTCATAAATATTAAAAGCCACAAGATATGTCACAATCAGACTTTAAAATAACACAGGACACCAGTTTAGCTATGAGTATGCGCATTAATTTCTCTTTACTCTTCAGAGTTACTGGGGACCATGAAATCACATACCTGGTTGTATGTCTCTGGTCATTTTCGTTTTTTTTGGCCAGGTGATTTTCCATGGCTTTACAATTAAAACTGAAGCCCATTCAAATGTGCATTTTATGAACAAACTTGGTTATTAAAAGTCAAAATAAAATGAGACGAGCAGATGGTGTAATGTCTTGAGATTGTGGTTCCAGTCCCTCCCCTTTTTTGAAATGCTAACCAAGTCAAAGCGCTTCTATAGAAATCGAGTGCATGTGCGATGTCGCCATGCATTATGACAGGTGAACTACTGGCTGATTCAGAGAGTGGAGCGGGTGGGAAATCCCGACACCTCTTTGCAATCAGAGGACGGAGCGCAGTATAGGAGAGTAACGAAAACTGGCAAAGGAACAATCTCTACTTGCATTACAGTGATGGATAGCAGGCAAACACATAGTACATATACTGTAGGATGATGCAGATGAATAAAATCAGAAGATAATGTAAGATTTAGCATAAACTAAAAATCTGCTTTAAAGGGAGCGTCACGGATGATTGTCTTTTCACGCATTGCTAAGCGTGTTCTGCGTTCTGCTCCGTCGTGACATTCGCTCTTCTGTACCAGGCCTCCTACAGGCAACATGAGTCGTAGCTCCATTGTTTGCCGTGACAACGCAGTATGACGTGAGCAACGCCTAATGAAAGCCAGATTTTATTTTTTTTTCTTTTGCTTGTTTCCACATATAAATACAGTGTAACGCTGAGTTCACCTACACGATCTGACCCGCCATCCTGTCTCCAGCTTGACCATTTAAAATTTAGTCCAGTTCTTGGGTTTCTACCAGTAAATTATTCAGTGGTCGTCGAGACTGGGGGGCGATTCCAGTGATATAGAAAATCAGTAGACTCATGAGACAAAAGTTGGAGATAATTAAAAAAAGAAAAAAGAAATTAAGCCTATGAAATAATTTGCTATACTGATTACAAAACAATATTAAACTGCATTTTATATTGAATTTATTTGGTGCCTTTCAAATGGCAGCTTGATGTTAAATGATACACGGAAATTTAAAGGAATATGCTATAAATAGCTTTTGTAAACTTTCTTTATTATGCCATATATACCATGAGTGAGAACTTTTAATGTAACAGTATTTGATCAACTGTGCATAAATGTCCCATTTTATAGAAAGTAATTATATCAATATGCTTGCATGAATATGTATGGGATCGAGGCTGGTTTGTTTAAACTGCTGCTTTTCTCTCTACTGCAGGACAGCTGTTCCCACTGTGCCTTAGCACATGGATTTCAAGAGTTCCACTGAGGAGGTACGATACGAGCTTAAATACCAGCCTCTCAGCCGTACTGTGGTATGTGTGCCTGAGTCAGCTGCTGATGTGATTGTATCTCCTGCTCTATTTGGTTTCCGTCCTCAGTGACTTTGAGATGCTTGGGATTTTTAATGAGGCCTTACGTTCAAATTAACGTAAGGATTTATCCCGGCTCACCCAGACAGAACTAGATCACGTTTATCCTTCGTTCAATATCCACAGTGAATGAACAGCTGAAATGCATTTTCCCGGTTTGACATTTCTAATTTTAATTTTCTCACTGAATTCCCGTTCATTTCAATCGGTGTTGGCTCGATTTATAGTGCCTGTGAGAATCCCACAGGGTAGAACAGTGACGCCACATCTAACAGATTCAAGACAGCAAAGGATGTTCTTACAGAAAAGTAAATACATTTCATTCAGCCCTTTAAGCAAAAGAAACTGACTGCAAAGTACAGACCTGAAAAGATATCATAACACTAATTAACTAAGCATAAAGGTAGAATCTACAATACTCAAGAGTAAGACGGCTATGTAGAAGCTGGGGAGATGGTCTACTGTTTAACGTCTCTCCTGTGAGTCCGAGACCGGCTGCTCAGAAAGCGCAGCCCGTTGGTGTGTGAACGGACAGCAGCTGGCTTCATCGGTGCTGAGCATTCAGCGCTGGGCCGGGCAAACACAGATGTGCAAGCGCTCGTAGCAAATTAGACAATTAACCGGATCGCTCATTCAGTCGAGGTTCTATGGCGTATACAAAGCATGCAGGGTGTGCTTCCTAGGAGCTGAATTCAGGAAAGTGAAGCGTAAGGGTGACATTTCAGTCGCAATGCCGTAATGTCGAGCTTTGTGCATGGCAGTATCATTTCAGGAAAGTGAAGCGTAAGGGTGACATTTCAGTCGCAGTGCCGTGATGTTCGAGCTTTGTGCATGGCAGTATCAATTCAGGAAAGTGAAGCGTAAGGGTGACATTTCAGTCGCAGTGCCGTGATGTTCGAGCTTTGTGCATGGCAGTATCAATTCAGGAAAATGGAGTGTAAGGGTGACATTTCAGTTGCAATGCCGTAATGTCGAGCTTTGTGCATGGCAGTATCATTTCAGGAAAATGAAGTGTAGGGGTGACATTTCAGTCGCAATGCCGTAATGTCGAGCTTTGCGAATGGCGGTATCATAAGAAGTCGCAGTAAAGAAAAAAAGAGTTGCAGAACTGCTATAGTCAAAAGTCAAATGGTTCTTCGTTAAAGAACTATTTGTATGTTAAATGTCCCTTCGTATATTTTCCAAAAGTGACATTTGGAAAATATATAAGTGCATCCATCAAGATTCAAGATTTTCTTGAATCTTGAATCTGTTGAATCTTGATGGATGCACTCACATATTTTCAAATGTCGCTTTTGAAAATATACAAAGGGACATTTAAAAGCATGAGAGAGCAGCCATTCGCAGCTCGTGAAATTTCATTTTTAGTCTGGCCTCTTGCAGTTTTATAGGGGAATTTCCTTGGTTGTTATTCACTGGGATGATGACATCTGTTCGGTAGTATGGCCCTTTCATGTTATGAAATACGTTAGAAAGGTGGTGTGATGGAGCAATGTGTTGTGTACAGTATAAGCATTTCAGGGTTGCCAGTTTTGGCCGGCTGGCTGGAGTGGGATTTTCAAATCGAGATAAGTCTGTAGGTTTTGCAGAATACCCTGAGGCTTTTGATGTAGCTAATGTTAGGGTTATAATGGAATAATATAGATTTGCCGTAAGATTTCTGGCGTGAGCGTCTGAAAGTGTGACTGTCACGCCACATGCGTGAGATTTGGCAACCCTGGTGTTTGTGTTTCCTGGCTGTGTTCCCCTGGTTTCTCTGATGACCCCCGACAGTTCAAAGGCATGCAGGTTTGGTGGGCTGACATCCTGCTCAAGTTTCATCTTGGCCTGTGCTTCTTCAAATATGCTCCTGACCAGGGGCCTGTTTCACGAAGCAGGATTTCTTACTTAGCTGGATAACTTGTCAGATTTAAGGTAGTCTCGGCCAAATGTAAGTGAATGAAGATAAAATCCATTTAGCCCAGACTACCTTAAATCCGACAACTTATCCAGTTAAACAAGAATTACTGCTTTGTGAAACAGGCCCTGGGGCTACCCAATCCTGCTGCTGAAGATCTCCCACACTGCAGAGCTTAGGTGCAGCACTAATTTAACACACCTGATACAGATGATCAGGTCCTTCTGTAGCATCTATGTTAAGCTAAGTTAGCTCTAACACTGAGATGCTACAGAAGGACCTGCTTATCTGTGCTGCACCTAAGCTCTGCAGGGTGGGAGATCTTCAGCAGCAGGACCAGGCAGCCCTGTGCTTATCACAACCCTCTGCTGGATAAGTAGCTATGAAAGATGGATGGATTGTTTGTCATTGTCACCACACAGAATTCTGTTCAGATCTTGCACAACTACACTTCATATCTATTTATATAAACAAGTTTTTTGTTGCCTGTTTTTCCGTAGCCAGAAGGAACAAGTTTTTAATTTGTAACATGGTATTCATTGAAACGTGTGGGAAGTGTGAGACGATACTTGTTAAAATACCATTTTCTGTCCGATAATATCTAGCAAAATCCAAAATCCTGAATTGTCTCAGGAAGTATTTTCTCGTACGCCGTGTTACTTTGCTTCTATTCCCAATTCTAAAACAAAAACAAACAAAAAAACAATGTGAAATGTTGCATGGTTCACAACTTCAAAGGTCACGTGCATGGCAATCCCAAGACCGATTTCTTTTTAGTAATGTTTTTTTACTCCAACATTTCATAGAAATCATATCAGTAACTAAAGCATGATTATAGGCAAGTTATTTCAAAATGCTTCATTGACTGTAATGAACCAATAAGGAAACTGCAATAATGCGTTTTCATTAAGCAATTTGGAGAAACGACTCAAGGTTAAATATTTTCAGACATGCGTTTATATACAAAGCAACTTAATCAGATATTAATATTAAATGCTAAGTGAAATATGTCCTTCTCCTAAAGGCCACAGTATATTGCTATTCTATGATATACATTGACAATATATGTTGACGGGGATAAGAGGATAGACGATGGATGAATGGAGGGATGAAGATTATACTGCATAAATCTTAAACGCATACAGGGCTTACAAACTGCATGGTTGGTAAATATGCAGTGTTTCTTAAAGCTGCATTTATTTCATTGATGATTAGTCTCCACACAGTGAGCTGGAGCTATGACCAGTGATTAGCATAATTACCCACAATGCTTTCCATTAGCTCCATTTAGAGTTTACTCTGCTGGCTTTTCTCAGTCACTCATTGTTAGTTTTCACGTGATCATAGTGTTAGAAGATTTCTAAGTTTGGTCTTTTCTTAATTGGTGGCTCCTGGCTTCAGAAATGTAGAAAATCCTTGTTCTAGACAGGTTATTTTTGTTTATATTCGGCAGCCCGATGATGAAAACAAGCTCTTTATAGATATTATACTTAAATCCAAATGCATTATTGTGGTCTGTGTCACGGCCATTGTAATTCATCTTGACTGGTTGTTTACCTAAATGCCTATTATTAAAAGAGGTGCTTAATACATGTGAATATGCAACTAAAAGCTTAGACTGTTAAGAAACATTAATATTTTTTTTGAGTACTAGATTAAGCTGGAATATACCAGATTAAGGAAAATAAAACTGCATATATTGAATGTGACTGATCGACAGAATCCCTTTCAGTCCTGGTTTGTTATCTGATGATGACTTTTGATTATTTCTATTGTATTTTGTAGTTTTTTCAATGTGTATATAATCTCTGAGCATGCAGTTGTAGTAGCTTTCAGTCAAATTTTGGCATGACAAAACAGGAACTGTCCCCTTTGATTGAGCGTGGAGGGTTTTCAGAGGAAAGTAAACAGTTTGGAAAAACAACTTTTTTTTTCTTGAGAATATAATGCCGTGCTTCACCAGAACCTTCTGCGGGCGAGGCCCAAGGCCGACTTTTATGTTATTTTCCTGCTGATTGTGATGCGTTTGTGAGTGAAGCTCACGATTTCACCTCCAGGCAGATTCTCAGTCATGCTGCCCAGACATAGATTCCATCGCGGCTTAAAGCTGCTGACAAACACAGGAGAACGTGTGGAGGTTGCCATGGCAATACTCCGGGCTCCACATCAGAAGCCAGTCACTCCCAGAGAGATCCATATGCTTATCCTGTGGCAGGCTGATACGATGAGGGGGGGAAACCCCACGGGGCAGCCTGACGTGGTGGCTACTTAAAGTTAGCTGCAGATCAGCTTCAGCAGAGGTTTCGCTGAAGATATTAAATGCTGACACTAGAACTGTGCAATGGAGTGGATGTCAGAATTTTTTCACTGCCTGAACAATAGTAGAATAGGACATGACATCTGTGGTTTTCCTTAATTTCAATCTTCATTAAATCTTCCGATTATTGAAATCTGAATACTGGTATGTACTTATTAGATAATCAATCAATCTATCTATCTATTTGTTATTTGTTTGTTTGTTTGTTTGAAAATAAAGCTCACGGAACAGAAATGGATATGTGCCTGCATGGTCTTAAGCTGGAATTCCCGTCACAAAGGGCTTTCGGTGACTCGATGTGAAATATTTAGCTACATAAAAATGGAGGAATGGTAGCCTATTTAAATCACCACGGATTAATGTGTCAGCTATGCAGCTCATAATTATGTAATTTAGTTAGCTTATTAGTGAGCTTATGCGAGACGTTGCCAATCCCTTTATGAAAAGATTTGCTACAGACCACAGAATGGGGCTTTAAGGTCATTTAGTGAAACTTTTTGGCTCGGAGCGTTTATTGCTATTGAGGAAGATCTCTCTTCACCTTCAGAGGGAGCTACTGATGCCTCAAGGATATGACAGATAGTTTGAGAGATAGTTGGACTATAGATCCTTCTGCACTAATGTACCGGGATTACATTTTTGGGTCATCTTTTTGATGGTGAAGATTTGTTAGATTTCTAATATACTTTCACTGTTTGTTGTTGGCATAATGTCAACGGTCCAGCCTTA